AACAGGAACAAATATCTTTGTTTCTGATGCTGTTCTTCACAGCAGCTGTTACCACATAGACGTACCAATTATTTTGGCCTGGAGTCTGATCTTCAAGCTGCTGCCTTTTCGTCCTTTAGCCGCCACAGTCATCTCCTCCTGGACAACGCCTTCCTGGTGAGTCCTGTACTCACAGGTCACCTTCACTCCTCCTGTCGGGGGATTTACAGTTACATATATTTAAAAAACAACTAGATATTGTTTTGGTTATTTGTAATTCTGGGTAACAAGTTTAATGTAGCTAATTCAAATACTTTTATCAACTTATTTTACTCTGATTTTATATTTCAGAAATGAAGAAATTTAATCTCAGTATAAATTCAGCAGTAATGTGAAGGCCTCGGAGAATTAATAAACAAGCAGTATCATAAAAATGACGGAACACAGCAGAAACCAGAGAGAAATAGCTGCACATATTTCAGAGGAAAAAAAGGGAGACGTTTATGCCTCGGCCACAAGGGGGCGCCAAAGGGTTGACCAACTTTTAATCAGCTCCAACTTTCTAATAACTGCCTGTTCATGTTCGTCAGGTAGATATAGGACCGCACATGAAAACAAAAATAATGATATTGCACCATAAAAATAACTCAAACGTATTACAAATAGTTTTAGATGTATCTTTTCTTTCTCTTTCCATTTTAAAGAATCTTTCTGTCTTGTTTATGTCTCAGAGTAGGGATGAACTGTTTTGCGTCCAACATTTTGCACATAAGTTCATTTTAATCGAAAAGAAAAAGATTTAATACTTCAGATATCTCACAAATGAGATATTAACTTAAATGGAAAAACCTCACAAAAGCCTGGTATAGCAGCAAAAAAACTGCACTGAATGAACTGACTAGTAAATACATTTTTTCGAGGTAACGCAAAAGAAAACAATGTCCACTAGGGGGCTCCATACTAAGCTCAGCATCTCACTATGGCTTCATCAAAAGAAGAGAAGAATTTGGAAAACACTGTATATATTTAGATATTTTACAGAAGGTAAAAACAAAAACATGAAGGTTGGATATGTTGTTCTTAGACTGACCTTCCAGCATGGAGTTAATGCGTTGGATCCGGAGGTTCTGGGCCCGTCGAGTCGGAGAGACGGAAGGGAGACAGGTGAGCTCCTTGCCCAGACTGGGCACATCTGGGACAGTGAAGACAATCTCATAGCAGTGGTGGCTCTTAAGGAAACCGGCCTTGAGGAAGACACAGGTTATGATTATCCAAGGTTTGAGAATTAAATGAAAACAAAATTATAACACAATCTTTTTAGTATTCCTTAAATGGACTTGCTTTTTCCTTTATACCCAATAGTGAGTTTTCAATTGTTACTAGGTAACCAAAGAGTGAGTGAGTTAGTTGAATCCACCAAACTTTTATTTCTTTGAAAGGTTGAGCAGCTAAAGTCTTTCCTTTGCCTACATCTCCCAGAATGCTGTGTGGTTTTGGACAATAGTTCAGTGAATATTAAATATTCTATCAGATTATCGATGATCATCATATGTCTATTGCAATATATATTGTTATTGATTTATTGTCCAACCCTATACTAGTGTAGCGCTAAACGTTCATTTGTTTTAGTTGTATTTACCCAGAATGCCCTGCGCTTTAGCTTCCTGCTCTTGGAGTGGTCTCTGGTCCACTTTCCGTTCACATTATGGATTCAAACAGCACCAGAGTTCACTTCAACTGAACCGAGGCTTTTGGGTGGACCAGAGTTACATTTTTTGTTTTTACACATTCACACCTCCCCAAACGAATCGGACTTTCTCTGTAAACAAACTGAAGTTCCATTAAAGTGGGCCGAACAGTTCCTCACGTAAAGCTGGAAGTGAACTGCTGATGTCTGAATTTGATCTACAGCAATGATCAAAGGCAGTGCAGGGTTTTGTCTGGAGCTTTAAATCATGTGCAACAAACTGAATTTATGTTTCTTTATACACAGACTCATAAACACACACCTTAACCAAGTAGCTGCCATCTTTCTCTTGGACAGCAACGAGGGTGGAGAGGTTGGACTGGTCGTCCCTGCGGGTCGGAGAACCTGGAGGTTCGTCATCGTCAGGGAAACGAACGCCGCCTGCTTTGGATGTGGAGCCTGGAGACAGAGAAAACGAGTAATCAAATCATAATTAGAAAGAAAACAAGAAAAACTATTAGGACAGGGATGTCCAAAGTCTGGTCCAGGGGCCATTTGCAGCCCTCTTGTTAGGCTCCTGAGTCTGCAATTTAAGAATAGAGTGAATTCCAAATTAATTTGAAATATTTTTAAACATCTGTTTATTTAGGTACAACACAGTATGTTTCCTTTATTTACAACGTTTCTGTTTTCATTGCTAAAATCAGAAACTGCTGCCAAATTTTTGCTGCCAAAAGTAAAAGAAAAAATTAATCAGGACAAAATATCCCCCCAAAAAGTTTTGGAAAACATCTTTTATTTAATACAGCACCTGTGAACATTTACAGATTCCTTTTTCTACAAAAATTATAATAATAAAATATTATCTATGTAACATATTACTGAAGAGATAAAAACAACAGATATTTCAACAATCACGTTTTTGAACTGCAGGAAGAACCCTGGAAAGAATCGACACATTCATGGTGAGAACAAACAGACGCCGTGGCATTTCCTGCTTACCTTTTCTTCCCGTTGCCATGGTGATACGGTTATGATCTGGGTGTTTTCAGATTGTACTTTGGTGTTGTCATCACTGACCTGAGGACAAACAGAGAAACACAGACAGTAGTGTCAGAGTTTCAGTCAATCTGGGACTAACATGGTCCAAGCAATTAGTTTTAAGTTTATTAAAATTTGTAAAATTATTAATTTTCTTGAGATTATTGATCTGTGCAAACTAAAATAAACTGAATTGCATAAATGCTTCAATTTTAACACAGATTATAGATCTAGAATTTTTTTGAGGATTAGAAGAGTATTGAATCTGATTTGACAGTTTCAGTATAGACACATTTAAAAAATATATATTAAGGAGATTAAAATTCACATCCAAGATTTAAAATTTAATTTGTAGAAGTGCAAAACCTAACAACTAACAACTATTTTAGAAATCAACTATTCTGTCGATTATTCTAACAATTAATCAATTACTCTGATAAAAAAAAAATTATTTAACCACTTCTGTTTTTATACAATATTAGAAATATATAAAAAGATGCAAATCAACAAATAAACATTCCTTTTTAAGATAATAAGCATAAAATAACTTAACATTTTAATGGCCTTTTCTGAGTTTGTATGCTCCATTTAATGATTAATCGATTACTAAATTGACGATTATTGATTCATTATGAGTTATCTGATTAATCGTTTCCTGGTTGTCTACTACTTTCTTGGTCTATCACATAAAATCCCTTTAAAATACTTTAAATATTGTGTTTTAAACGCCTCAAGGAAATAGTTTTGCAGATCTCTGTCAGTAGTTTTGTATAAATGTATTAGTTCTGCAGCAGACTTGAATATTATTAAAATTTTAATCTATTTAAAAATTCTGTTTTTCTCTCGCCGTCATGATTAATATTTAATAATTACATTAAAGCTCCACATGTGTTTGATTACCTGACACATTTACACATTTATCAATGCAAGAGAATCAAACACACCACAATTTAAACTAACAATAAGTGTGCAATAATATTATCAAACATCCACGCCCATCAAGTTAGCAGCTGCAGCAAAGCCCTTTCGATGCGCCATTGAAAACAATCCCGTCCGTCTGAAATAAATTAACAAAAACAGCGGAAACACGAACCGCTTCGGTCCGCCGTGTTGCTCCTTTCCAGCTCTTACATTTCTACTCCCGGCGGCAGCGCTGTAACATTTCCCCTCTGTGAATAGAGGCAGTCCGCTGTCTGTCCTTGGAAAGATGGAGAGATGCTGAACTGGATGTTCCCGTGCGCGGCGCGCCCCCGCGCTGCGTCCGCGCGCCCGCGCCGCCGTGCTTCATGTCTGGAAAAATAGAAAATAGGACATTTGGTGCGAGACATGCGACCGCAGGACAGCACTGAGCATTAGGGCCACTGGAGATGGAGAAAAAGGAGAAGTAAACTT